AACTGATTACTACCTGATTACTACCTGATTTATGCATATTTTTGTACCAAATTTTTGGTACAAAAATATGCATAAATTAGGTGCCAATCAGGTAGTAATCAGTTTAAAATCAGATACCTGATTTGTGCCTGATTTTTTATCTTTTGACCTGTATAATATTAAAAAGGATAAACATAAGACATTCGTTCATTGTCAAAAATCTGCCAATATGAGTGATGCTGATGAAATGGTAGAAGTTGAACATTATCATCAAGAAGAACCAGTTGTGGTGATAGAGGTATCGATGGACGAAGTGATGAAAATTGATGCAATGATGATGAATTTATTAGAATTGTTAGCGAAGGATAAGCATGATATTGAGGATATAAATAATATAAATGAAAAGAAAATTGGTAACTTGCTAGTGTTAAATGAAGAAATAATCCAAGGAATCTAACGTGATAAGAAAATAGCACAAAAGGTTGAGCGTGACGAAGAGATTTATGATGATAATGCTAAGAACAATAGAGGTGAAGCTGCAGATAGTAGAGCTGAAACCCAATCTGGTAATAGAATGTTATAATATTGGGTGTAGTAGTTTAGTAAATGAAAAAAAAAAATAAAAAAAAAATAAAATTATTATTATTTGTGTATGTATGTAGCAATCTGAACAATCTTTAGTATTGGTGATATGAACTTTGGGCGAACATTATTTAGTAAGTTAGTGTGTTACGCTACGAATTGGTTGTGTATTAGAACTTCAGGGACGAAAGTTCTGGGGAATTTAGCTCCTGTCGTGGTCTCGAGCATTCATAGTACAAGGGTCAAATCAAGGAATCATGATCGGGTTATAATCCCAATATACATGAATGGCATGATTCGGGTGTGCATAGGAAGTAATTAAAAGTTTAAAATATTGATTGCATAAGTGATGAGGTAATATGTAATAATCAGTGACGCTAAATAGCGATTAGTAATAATATATAAGATATTGATCCCGAAAGAGAGAGTACCTAGCTTTTTAAGCTTTTGAGCTTCATAAATAATAACTTTCGAACTTAGTGAATAAACATTACCTATGTGAATACAAAACTGGTGAAAGAACCTGTATAATATACAGTCAATCGAAGATAATAGCCAAGCGAGTAAACGTTGATAGTAAAGACCCACCAGTACATGGTAGTACCAGGAATATCCGTGACAATAAGACTCTGCTTTTCTTTAAGCTACACTCTTTTACTTGGCCAAGTGGTCTCTCTTTTATTTCTATTCACACTTCTATCGGTTTTCTAAAAAAATTCAACAAAAAGTGGGGATTTGGTTTATCCCTTTCAAAATATTAGTATTGTTTACTTTCCAAATTTAGATGAATTAGTGGAATACAACTACATGTTTATTTATAGATGAGTATAGCACTACTTAATGTGACTCAGCCTGGGAACTCTAATTATAGTAGCAAGTGGTATAGATTCTTGAATAGCAGCAACACCTGGTTTGAGATACGAATTAGGATAGCAATAAAGCAATCTGGAGTTGATAAAAAGGTTAAAAAGTAAATTTAATGCTAAGGCAAAGCTTTATAGTAGAGATATACAAATATTGCATTTGTTATATAATTTTTATCAGCCTGGCACAGGTTATAATAGTGCCTTTAGGGTTTTAGATTTCTTTTTATGTTTTTTTTTTCAAAATCAGTGTTTGTTTTTTCTTTTTTGTTTTTTCTTTTTTTGGGTATCTTCATAAATTATTTGTTAAAAATTTATCTTCTTTGTCTTATATCTCTTGAAAAAAAAGAAGAATTAGAAAGGAAAAAAGAGATTTTAATATAGTAAACAATGGCCTATCAATAATTAAAGGAGCAATCTCATCATTGCTATATTTGAAGCAAGTTTTGAATCCTAAAGGATTGTTATAGTAGGTTACATTGGGCTTCAGCTTGGTGAGTTTTCATTAAAATAAAACAACATTCTATTTAGATATGTAATATAATTGTATAGCCTTCTTTTAGTTATTTATAAAATAAATAGAAGCAGGATTGCTTATAAAAAAGAATAAAAAATAAAAGTATTTATAAATTTGTATATAATATAAATTTTTTACTATTTACTATTAAAAATTTTTGAGAACAGTAAAATAATAACAATATTTTCATAAATAATAATAACTACATAGTATTGTTATATTATGCCAAGCCATATAATATTACAACTCTTCCCAACGATCACTTGTATCAAAATTTTTACACAAATTTTGTTGGAGAGTCGTGGTCTATGTAGCAGTTTGTCTAGAGATCAATATTTTCTTAGTTTATGGGACTTCTCTAAAAGATGTTCGGCATGCAAACCAAGAGCATTATTATACAAGATAACTAGTGGGCAGTGCTTTTGTATAAAAAATCTTGGTGGAAAGACAAAGTCTTTTTTGTTGATAAAGCTTTTAGGCTGTTAACAAAAACATAGAGGAAACAAAAATATTTGTGAATTTCAACACACTTTTTTGAAAATTTTGAAAGTACCTGACTTCACAAACCACCTTCTATATTCTTGCTAGGTTTTTTGGTGTTTCTCTCAAAATTTTTTCCAAAAAGTGGAAATTTCGGCATACCTTCTACTAAAGATCGATATTGTTTATATCACCAAATCAGAATAGCAAGTCACAAAAAAATCACATATTATACCTCTGAAGACTGTAGACAGACACGTAAATAATAGCTACCTGTTGGTTTCGGATCACTAGGGTAAACAAAAAAAATTTTGTATTCCCCACATATAAAGCATATTTTAATACCAAAGTAAAGCAAAGGTGGGATTTGTTTTACAGAGTATTAAATAATTTTTTAAACTTTACCAGCACTAGTGTATCTGGTGCTGTTTCATCTTTGTCTTTTTTCTTTTTGTCCTCCCTTTTTTTTATCATTTTATCTTTCTTTTTTTTATTATTTGGTTTTCATTTAGATTTTGTAGTATCTGCCCTTTTTTTATCTATCTTTTATTAGTTTAGTTTTTTTAGCATACTTGTTGTTCTTGAGACAAGAATTGCAGAATCCTCTTACATGAATATTAAGAAGAGGAGGGTCTTAAAGAAATTAGCAATCATGATGAGCCATAGTGCTTACTGTTGATATATATATTCTTTTGATTGCAGAAAGAGTATATAAGGAGGTAAAAACTACTATAGCAGGTCAGGAATAAGTGCTTTTTAAGTAACTGGGCCAGTCAAAACTTGTAATTTTAGATGTTCAGAGCCAGTGTTTTGGTTTTAAACAGTCACATAAGATAGTATAGTTGAGTGTATTATATCTAATAAAGTTTTGGCATGACTGCCAAATTTTAAAAAAAAATATATATATTATACCAAGCCAGAAACTAATAAAAATAACTACTATAATTATAATAATCTAAAGTAAATTAAAGAAGATTTATTTAATCTTAATATGTTTTTCATATTTTTTGTTATTTATATATTTGTCAATAATTTTTTAAAGATTTGAAGTAAAAAAGCAAAAGCTAAAATTAATATTGCACTATAATTTGAACTCTATAATACTTAATATAATAATAGTTTATATTCAACTAATCAAAATTATCATTATAATATTTTATATATACTATCTAAATATTAGATTCACCTTACTTTACCAACAATTATTTTCACCAATAGCTTATTTAGCTAGTATTATACAACTAATAAAATACTAAACTCAATACTATGTAATGAACTTTCAATAAAATAACTATTGGTAAAGTAAGTAGCACTGCTAAATATAATACTAAATATAACTATTCTGTATTGAAAGTTATCTAATATTTCTAAATCGGGTTTATATTTATTCGTTCCTGGTTTAGCATAACAATATTACATAGCTATTTACTAAAATTTTGTAAATTATAAAATTTTATAAAATTTTATTATTGTGTTTTTCAAAATGGTTGAAAATAGAAAAAAAAATTTTTTGAGTATACCTGTATACTGTATACCGGATTATCTTAGTATTTTGATTGAAGATCAATGCTTGGTTTACTTATTGTTTCAAACAATAAATATATATAGGAGTAAGTCAATAAAAAAGAGACAAATTTTTTCTAAGTAAAAGTTTTCTTGACTTTAGGCTTAAATATCTTGGCAATTATTTTATCAAATT